TAGTTTCCATTTTTTGTATAACTCTTTCTTGAATTTCAGGTAAGTGAAGATCTCCTGGCTAAGCCAGGGTGGTCTTTAACCGTATTTCCTCTCTTTCCCCAAGCATTACAACAGTTTGCTCTTGTACCCTTAATAACGTTTCTTTAAAAACCACTAATTCTCCTGAATTTTCTTTCCCTTAGGCTTGCTTTACACAGAATCTTACCTACCAATTCTCTGAGTTTGCTAAAGTCTGCCTGCCAGTTTTATTCCACTGTTTTCCCTCATACAGAATCACGAGCCCCATCATTTCATGATCTCTTTCACCTAAAGCTCAACTGATCTTCAACAAAAGTTGAAATCTGAGAGTTAGACACATGACCTTTGAGGGTCGTACCTTAGGGGCTGTCTTTGTGTTTTCAGTTTGCTTGATTTTTCTCATACTCCCTCTTCCTACCCATTTCTCTCTCTCCCCCTACTTCCACTGCTATCTTCTCTTTTCTTCTCATCTACCTCTATCCTTTCTCCGTTTCATTTTTCCCCTTCCTTTTCCTAGCCTAATCCTCTCCCTGTACTACCAACAGCATAAGAGCAGGAGAGTCTCATACCAAAAGCCCTACTCACTCCTTAAGCATTTTTCCTTAGACAGCCTCTGCTCCCTGCTTTGCATCTGCATCTTTCCAAGTCGGATCAGAGGTCAGAGGCAGAGGAGAAAAAACATAGCAGAAATGGATCCTTGCTGTGAAACTCCCACACTGTCAACAGCAGTATGCATGGGAAGATCCACCTTTCCAAATCTAATTGTTGAGTCTGGGAAACTTCCCACATCCCACCCAGGTCCCTGTGAACAAAGACCAGCAATCAACCTTGAGAATGTGCTCAACATTATCCAGAGCATAGAAAATGATATGGGTTCAAATTCCCAAAGACCCCTCAGTCCCTAACTCCTACAGAGATCAATCAGAGCTAGGTGCACACATACTTTTCAGGTACTGGGCTATGGTCCCTGCTCCAAGGAGTCAATTTAGCTAGACACACTCCAATTCAGAAATATTGCCACACATAATACATACACATGGGAACAAACAAGGTATGTAGGCTGATGAACAAACCTGAGGAAATACTTTTAAACATGTGTTTGGTGAGTTGTGCTGAAAGATGGTACGTTTAGGAAAACCATGGTCAGGAAAGTGAAGAGGGAAGTAGGTTGGCAAACAAGGCATACCACCTACATTTTACATTAGCCCAGCACATGAACTTTAGCATACTGACTTTCAAGCCCAAAACTTTCCTTTTTTAACCAAGTGAGCACATTATTGTAACTGGACTTGTTTTTATGACTTGGAATGATACAATGCCCAGATGTTCATTGCAGGACAGATTATATGAGTATAATTATATGAAAGCCACATGCAAAGGATGTTCTCACAGTTAGTAGTAATGGCAGGTGAGTAAATTAAGATTTTTTCATAATTTATTTGAGGCTACCTGTGAAAATGTGTGGTTGCAACTTTTGTGACCATCCTAAATCCCCCAAGCACAATTCAGCACAACTGAAGTACACAACTCAGCCATGTTAGATATGGCAGAAGGGGGACATAAATATCAATGACTGTTATCTAATGCTAAATGACACCCTCTGTGTTTATGCCCATGGTGCTTGATCTCACACCCTCCAAAATCAATGGCACCGCTATTCCTGTCTGCAGGATGGGGCTCATGGGGCAGGAAAAAGAAAACCACATGATAAGGTTAAGTAAGGAAACCTCAGGACCTGGCTTGTGCTACCAGACTGGAATAATCTCTTCAGGGAAATAGTGGAAGCCACATTACTTGAGACATTTAAAACCAGACTAGAGGACGTAATGGAAAATATACTCCGATAACAATCTTGAGCTGGCCCCAGGAACAGAACTTTTCCATGTCTGTGTTTCCGTGAGACTCTGAACACTTATTTGGATTATGTGCTTCTTTACCAGCATATCCAAGTGTTCAGTAAAGATGTTTATTACAAGTCCTTGTTTCCTCCCCACCCATCCTCAAACACCTAGGATGCAGAAGGCAGCAAAGACACTGTCTTGCAGGGAATCTTTTCTCTTCTACACTGTTACCGTATTTTAAAACAGTAATTTTAGAAAGCAAGGTGAAACAGGGAGCAACAGCTCTAGATCCAATGTATCAATGATCTTTCCCTGCTTCTTCAGTGATTAGCTGTCCTGTGCAAAGGGAGGGGAATGGCGAGTATAGAGGAGCACACCTGGGAGGGCTGTGCAGCCGCTTTGCCCATGGCATGCTGGGGCAGCGCGACCGGCCAGGCTGCCCACTCGTCCGAGCAGCCAGGGTGGGGATGAGGGACATGCCCTAGCAGCTGTGGCAGGGTGGGGATGAGGGACATGCCCTAGCAGCTGTGGCAGGGTGGGGATGAGGGACATGCCCTAGCAGCTGTGGCAGGGTGGGGATGAGGGACATGCCCTAGCAGCTGTGGCAGGGTGGGGATGAGGGACATGCCCTAGCAGCTGTGGCAGGGTGGGGATGAGGGACATGCCCTAGCAGCTGTGGCAGGGTGGGGATGAGGGACATGCCCTAGCAGCTGTGGCAGGGTGGGGATGAGGGACATGCCCTAGCAGCTGTGGCAGGGTGGGGATGAGGGACATGCCCTAGCAGCTGTGGCAGGGTGGGGATGAGGGACATGCCCTAGCAGCTGTGGCAGGGTGGGGATGAGGGACATGCCCTAGCAGCTGTGGCAGGGTGGGGATGAGGGACATGCCCTAGCAGCTGTGGCAGGGTGGGGATGAGGGACATGCCCTAGCAGCTGTGGCAGGGTGGGGATGAGGGACATGCCCTAGCAGCTGTGGCAGGGTGGGGATGAGGGACATGCCCTAGCAGCTGTGGCAGGGTGGGGATGAGGGACATGCCCTAGCAGCTGTGGCAGGGTGGGGA